GAGAAATTCTTACTCTCTCCTTCTATTCTAAATGAAAATTTTGCTGGGTATATTTTCCTAGGTTGCAGGATTTTCTCTTTCAGAACTTTGAATATATCTTGTCACTCCCTTCTGGTCAGCCACATTTCAGTAGAGAAATCAGCTGATAGCCTTGTGAAGGTTCTTTTATAGCTAACTCTTTCCTTTTCTCTTGCTGCCTCTAGAATCTTCTCTTTATCTTTAACTTTAGCCATCTTAATTTTACTATGTCTAGGTATAGAACTGTTTGGGTTTATCTTGTTTGGGACCCTCTGTGCTTCCTGTACTTGGATATCTGTTTCATTCTTTAGGTTTGGGAGGTTTTCAGCCATAACTTCTTCAAATATATTTTCAGTACCCTTTTCTCTCTCTTCTCCTTCAGGGACCCCTATTATGCATAGGTTGGCATGCCATAGGTACCTTATATTGCTTTCTTTTTTTTTATTTTGTTTTGTTTTATTTTATTTTTTTACTGCTGTTCTGATTGGGTGATTTTCATTATTTAATCTTCCAGATTCATTATTGTGCATTATTTATTATTTAGTCTGCTATTTCTTGCCTTTAGCTCGGCTTTCATCTTGGCAGTTGAGTTTTCTGATTTTAATTGGCTACTTTTTATAGTTTCTAGTTCCTTTTTGTAGTCATCTGCATTTCTGTCAGTAACCTCTCTTAATTCCTTCAGTGCTTTTATCATCTCCTTTTTGAACTCAAGTTCTGGTAGACTGTAGAGGTCTATTTCATTGTTTGTTCTTTCAGGGTATTTCTCTTGTTCTTTTAATTAAAAGTTGTTCCTCAGCTTCTTCATTTTACTTATATTTCTCTAACCCTGTGAATTTAGGAGTAACAGTTTTCTGCTTTGTTCTTGAAGGGCTACTTTTTTGTGGAAACATTCCTGTATAGTCTATGTGTGTCTAATATTTTTGTTGCAAGGGTTGTTTTTATTATGGATGACTGCCATGTCTTTCCTCCATGTATTGGCTGTTATCCCCTTGATTAGGTGTGTGACTGGTTTTGTGGTGACCAGAGCCTACCCTGAATGTTGAGCAGGGCTTGCTCTTTGTTCTGTGATTGTCTTAGCCTTGTCAGGGGCTGGGTCTGCTCCCCTGTTGTTGGAGTAGAAATCCAAGATCCATTTCTGAGCTGTGGTTCATGGTGGGTAGGAATAGAGTGCTTCTGCTGGGAGAGCAGCCGCTGAGTATCCCCCCTCAGGAGCTGTCCACCAGGAAGTGCCCTCCATGATGCTATCTGTCACCCATTGTGTGAGCTCACAAAGCACACTTTGTTGGTGCTGCCTTTGGCCCCACCCCCACCGCAGGAATGCCGGCAACCTGCCCTAGTGTCCCTTATGTGCTGTCTTCACAAGGGTACCAGGGCAGGTCCATTGATGTCAGGCACTAGGACCCACTGTAGTCACTTGTGGTCACACTTGGAGCCACAGTTGTCTATAGGGTCAAACCAGACTTCAGCCCTGCCTCTGCATGCATACCCCAACTGTTAATACCAGACTTACCCTTTGAAGCTTTGCTTTTACTTGTAATTGTCTCATAATATCGATAGTACTGAATTCATCTATTGCCTCTGCTGGATATATTCAAAGTAATATCATATAGTTTCTGAAAGATAGTACCTAATAATTCCCAAACTGTTTTGAGCTTTTAGAGTGTAGAATAATTAGATGATCTTCTAAGGTGACTACTTTGATTCTACTTGGATGTTATACTTTCAGCCTAGAGTGAGAGACTGTAGACCCTGTATAGATCAACCATTAAGCAAACAAGATAAATAATACTCACTCTGAAAAAGATGGCATTAGTTATCTACTGAAACCAGCTAATTTAAGAGTGCTTTTAAGTGTTTTATCAAGAATAGGCAACTTTCCAATGTTCTATCCAGAGACTGGGGTAAAGATTTAAGAAAAGCATTGGCTATAACTGTTTCAAGAAATCATAATCTTAATAGCATTTTAATGATGTTTTAGAGGTAAACTGTCAATATCATTTAAAATATTCCTCATGATATGTAGCCTCCTCTCAAGTTTTTTTCCCATAGAGGGATTCGAGCATTTGGGACAATGCTCCTTCTTCCTGCTGACTGCTATGACTAGTTCAGCTCTTTCTGCCCTCTCAACTAGTATATTGTAACAACATCCAAATTAGTCTCCTTTTCTTAAGTCTTATTCCTTTTAAACTTGTCATTGAAACTGCCACCACTGTGATCTTGGTTTTAGAGCATGTCATTCTTCCTAGTTAAAACCTTTCACCTGCAGCCTCTAGCTTGTGTATAGAGGCGCTGTCTGCTAGCCCTTAACTTCTTGTCCTATTGGTTGACCTTTCTTGTCGCATCATGCCACAATTAATTTAAAACAGTCATTTCTTACACTCTCTTCATGTTTTATGTCTCTGTAACTTTCCTTGAAACAACTCAGTTCTTAACTTGGCAAAATGCTCTTCATCCTTGAAGACTGTATCCATTATCATCTGCCCCAAGAAGCTTTTCCTGAACTCCTCAGCCTTATTAAGTGCTATGTCACTACACCTTTATTGCAGTACGTTACACATTGTATAGAAGTCAGTTTTTTTACAGAAGTTGTCTTTATTAAACTGTAAGTTTCTGAAAGGATGCCAGCTTATTTGTTTTCCTAGGATATATTGTGACTGTTTGTCATTGTTGAACTTACCTGAACTGACATAATTATCTGAGAAGCTTACAATTGAAACGTAGGTCCAATGTACAGAGCACAGAAATGTAAGGCTAAGAAATAAAGGAAGAAGGGAGAGAGGTGGAATGTATATTAAGAACTCTAAGATATGGAAAATTCTAGCATGGTATCTCTAGCTAGCATCCAGACCATGGATTAACTTAGTAACTTTTGTAATATGAAGTATATTAGTTAATCAGTGAAAACGGATTCTTTCCTGGTATACCCAAGGTAACCACTATCTTAGGAGGATGTAGAGAATAAGAATTTTTATTGCCTTTAGCATTTTCTGATTTTGGTGAGCCTGTTTATGTTGCTGAACTCAGGTTCAGCTGCTCTTTGCTCAAAAGCCAATACTTGAGAGACAAGTTTTGCGTAAAAGGCAAGATAACTTTGTTGAGGAATCTGGCCATCCTGGGGAGAAGTTAGACTCATGTCCCCCAAACCAACTCCTCATTGCTGGTCAAGGAGCAACAGCTTTTAAAGGGGAGTTTCAGGGATGTACAGGCAGTGGGGTGGGGGGGGGATGGTTCATTCAGAATAGCACAGTCAGCTGTGATAGTCATCATGAAATTGGTCATGTGGTGGTCTGATCAGTGTCATCTTGATTTTTTTTTTTAAACTTGTTTTTTTTTTTTCAGGGAGTAGGCAATTAAGTTTATTTATTTGATCTTTTCAGTGGAGGTACTGGGGATTGAAACCAGGACCTCAGGCATGCTAGGCATGTGCTCTGCCACTTAAGCTATACCCTCCCCCTTGATTGTCTTAAGTACAATTAATCTTCAGCTCCAAACCTTCAACTTCAGGGTGAGTTTGCTCCCATTTTCTTGAGGCCAGCTCTTGGAGTTGTGTAAGAAGGGGCAGCTTATGTCATGGCTACAGTCTGGTCATCATTTGGTTCACTTCTGCCTGGTGGGGGTTTCAGTATCTGCAAAACATCTCAAGGATATGGCCCAGAATGTTATCTATAGCACTTGAGAAGAAACTAAAGGTCCTTGACTTTACTTAATGGCTAAACTGTTATTTTGTCTTGCTTGACTATTTTCCTTTGTTTTTGCATTTTCTCATTTCTCTGATTAAATTTATTCTTTGGCTGAAGTTTTTCTATAGATAAGAGGCAGTGGAGGACATGGGTGGTGGGGGTGACTGTCCTGGGACGGTCACGTAGGATCCTGTTCCCTTACCTTAAGAGATACTGTTAGAGTAGATAGTGTTACGGTAAAGCATCCAACTGCCCTAATTTGAAGGAAATATTCCTTAATAGTAAATAGTTTTTTGTTTCCATTTCATGTTCACTAAGCAACATTCAGACCTATAATTTGAGCCCTGAATGGGTTGACCTATAGTGGAAGGAGTACTCCAATCAGCTGACCTACTCCCAGTTACTGTAACAGATATATTTTTAAATTGTAGTTATTATATAAATTGCTTCTGGAGTTTGTTAATGTGCATTAGTTCTAGGAGCCGAGTAACACTGGGTAAACTGATGAAATAAAAGTGTCTGGTCTTACAATGTTTCAAATCCTATAAATCCTGGATATAATAATGTACTTACTTCTTACTTGACAGCCTTACTTCACCACAGCTGCCTGTATGACTGCAGTAATGAGCCTTTTTCTTTGAGGCTTATTTTTGCCATATATTTCTGTTTTTCGCATAAATTGCTCCATAATTCTATATTCTGGTTAGTACATAAAAATTGTCTTACTAATGTTAGTCAAAGGGCTTCAATAGCTAACAACAAAACATAATACTAATTCTTTTTACATCCATTATCATGTGAATATTCTTTACTAACCCTCTTAGTTCTGTCTTGAAATCTTATTATAGCCTTAAAGGGCTCAGAATATGTCAGAAATCATATAAGTAAGAGAGTTTCTCTCTTTTTCTTAGCCAATTTATGATTATCCAAAGGTAAGTTTTCTTTCTTAAAAATATTATTCTTTTAAAATTATTTTCTTTAAGATATTGTATATTTCAAAGTTGCTAAGAAAGCAAAATTTTAAAAGTCCTCATGATAAGAAAAAAATTTTGTGACTGTGGTGATGGACACTAACTGCACTTACTGTGATCATTTCATGATACATATGCATAACAAATCGTTGTGTTGTACCTCTAAAATTAATAAAGTGATATGTGTCAATCATTTCACAATAAAAATTTAAAAATGAGCTTTCAAAAATATTAACATAGTAACATTTTAAGTATTTACATTTCCATCAAATAGTACGCTTTGTAGACAAATGTTGATCATCATATTTAAAACTCTGTTCTGTCTCCTCAGTTTTACCGAGCAGAAGTTGAAGCTCTTCATTCTTCGGGTATGACAGCAGTTGTTAAATTCGTTGATTATGGAAACTATGAAGAGGTGCTACTGAGCAACATCAGGCCCCTTCAGACAGAGGCGTGGGTACGTGACTCACATTCTGTGCAGATGCTTAGGCTGTTTTGAAGCAAATGTGTAGCCCTAAAAGATTAGTCACAGTAATACAAAATTTGCCAGTAAAGGTATTTTGAATTTGCTTAAAACTGGCTACTCCTGAAGTAAGATTTTAATTTAATAATTACACTGAACTACAATAAAAATGAATACATTAGAGTTGCTTTTCTTGTATAATGCTTTGTTATATTATGCTTTGGAAATAAGTGCCCTTATTTATATGTTTGCCAAAAATATGTATGTGTTTTTATGAGTTTTTATGCTTATTTTCTTTCCCAGTTTGTTACTTTAAATTTGACTAAATTTTGTCCAGCAGTTGTCAAATTTAAATCTCTGTTGGATATGTGTATATTTATTATTTTAGTTACATGTAAAATTAAGAAAAACACTTTAAATTATATATGAACTCATACTGCATTTACCACACATATATTTATATGTATGTGCAGATTAAGTTTAAATATCTTTGTTTAAGAATTATTTGATTAATTTTGTTGCCAAATGTTACGTCAAAGCTGTGATGATTTTGTTAATGTGATTTGGAACATATTGGCCTCATGAAGTCCATTTTGTGCAGGACTTATGTGACTTTACATAGATAGATTCTCAGCTTCATTTAAGCAAAAACAGGACAAGTCATATTAGAATTCATTTCATAAAATTTTCTTTCATTTCTTTCTCTTATTTGTGGATAGCTGTTACTAAACTTACCACTAGAAGCCTAGTTTGTTGCTATTTCCCTAAAGTATAAAGCATACTAGGACACCATATAATCTTGACAGTAGCTGTCATCAGAGAAGCATACATTGGTTTCTCATGAGCTGCTTTTTGTTTAGTTTAGTTTTGGTCTTTCTACATTTTTCTGTCATGACCTCAGTGTACCACCCACTGAAAAAAAGAAGATAAATAAAACAACAAGAAACCTAGTAGCAGTAATCATGTTTGGGGCCATGGTCCTTTATTCTTTACCTTTTTATTCTAGAAAAATGATCATTTTCTAGATAAGTTATTGTTTCATCTTTCACAGTATAACATTACTAATGGTCTGTGTGTTTACCTAGAAGATCCTTTCCTTCACTCTCACTCTCTAAAGTTCAGCTGCTTTTTCCCTAAAAGACTGAAATAACATCAATATCTAATTTATGCCTTTTCTTAGAGAAACTTGATATATCTGTATCTTTTGCCTTTTTGATTCCCATATGATGACTATTTTATTCTGTTTTTTCCATAATACTCACACCTTAATCTAGTTTTGATGCTAAAAGTATTTATTGAGACTATATTCCTAGAAGTTGAGCCCTGGTTTGCTAATCATCATGTGATCCCAGTGTTTTTGCCATTATGGTCAGAGAGTCAAAATAACATTTTTACACTTAGAGTTTTTAAAAAAAATTTTAAGAGATTTAATAAGAGATTAATTTTATTCTTTTCTCCCTGAAGAAAAATTTTAAGTTTCCTTCCTTACTTTCTTCTCTACTTCCTTTTTCTGTTCCAGAGTGGGTGTAACTGATGAGCATGTTTCTCATTCCTCACTGTAACTCTTCCATTCAGAGGTGTTTGGTACTGAAGTTATCATTTTCTTTCTATTGTCAGTGACTTTTCCTTTTTCCCCCTTAATAGTCCTCATTGCTTTATTATTGATTTTAGGTCTTTGTAAGCTTAGTTGGACAATAAATTTATCACGTACCACAGCCCATGTAGTGATTCTGAACCATGGCAGTACTTTCATATTCTCCCTACCTATTTGTGAATTCTCATCTTGGCTTCATTGTGCTGTTTTTTTTTTTTTTAACCTATTTACTTTTTCTGTAGTCAACTTAAAAGTCTTTTGTAAGATACTTGAAATATTTTGCTAGCAGGAAGAAGCAGGAGAATGTTACTAAACCTTTTGGAGATTTTGGGATTTCTTTTCGCCTATTTGCAAATAATCAAAGGATTGTTGATGTTTTATGATTTTACATAAATTAATATAAAAATATTTTTGGATTATGAACACTGTTATTGAGGATAAAAGATCATCCTATCTTCTTTATCTGCATAAATAATTGACTTAGTTGTAGAAGCAGTTCCTTCTTGATACATAAAAGCCACTGGCTTAACGTATCTTCACCCTTCTCCATTTTTAAAAACAATGTACGTGTAAAAAGCCTCTGAAGGAAAACAGTCTATGTGACTCTCAGTACATTTAGGGTAGAATTAGTGTAGAGTTTTCTTAGCCTCTGAGAGTACTGATGTTGGGGGTCTGTGAGCACTTTTTCTTTTTGTAACTGGGGAATTGTAACAAGTTTTAAGTTAATTAAAGTAAAACATTTGCTATACTAATAAGGTAACTCTAACTGATAAATCGTACTGGAAAAATTAAAGAGCTGCAAAGATATAGCGAGGTTGTTAGAAGCCTGAGCACAATTATTCACTCACACTATGGATTGTGTATTTTTAATTTTTTAAACTCTTGGGCTACATATGTACATTACTATTTTAATTGTGAAGTGATATTTTATACTTTATTAAGGTTTATGTTTGTTATTGGCACAAGATTTTGGAAAACCGCTTGTTTTCCTAAATGTAGCAATGATCACAAATAGAATTTTTTTTTAAATAATTTGCAGGAAGAATAACCAAAAAGCCTGCATATGAACCAAAACCTTTACAGAAATCAATTTCCTATATTATCTCTTACAGGTGTAAGGATAAATTATTAAATAAAAAGCATGAAAATATTGAGGGACCCAATGAGTAAGTTAATAGTGTCTAATAAGGAAAATTAAAATAAAAATCAAGTTAGTAGTTTAAATCTAAGTGTTAATATTTTTCTCATAAAGTTTAAGAATTACTTGCCTAAATCTGTCTGTAGACAAATTTCTATTTTCCCCTTCTCTCTGGATAAACCTTTTTACTTCCAGAACATACTACTCAGTGATGATCTTTTAGATGATGAAATTTTATGTTCTTATTAAGACTAGATACTTTATTTTCTCCAAAATTATCTACAAACTTTTTGTTATGTCATCTTTGATTTTTTTTTTGTTCTAGTTAGATTTAACCTGGTTCTTTTAACTATGGTAAAATATTCTGTCTTGATTTTAGTGTCTTTATTAGAGTGAACTCTAATTATCACACATAATGTGAGATTCACAGCTCATTCTTAACTGAATAAATGCTCCAGTTTTCTCCTTTGTATATGCAGGATTTTCCTTATTTTACCAAAGTAGGTGAAGCCCTATGGGATCTCATATTATTTGCAAAACTATGTAAGGAGAAAACCATAATATGATTTTATGTTTCTGACCACTGTGTGGGAGAACATTAGGGGCAAAGGAAACCTGCTCTTTGTGTTCCCTGCAGGCCGTTTCCATATTGGCTCCTTTTAACTCTAAAACAGTACCCAAAACCAGTAAAAAGATGCCACAGGCAATTTGGAATTACTGTAAAATACCCTGGCACTGCTGCTCTGACAAATCTGTTGTGTTTTTAGAGTGCTGTTCTTCTGAATTACTTTTCTAAACCTGGAAAGATAGCGTCAGTCCTGATTTTCCGATAATATTTATGACTTGTATTCTACTGAGACTTTTATATCCCAAGAAATGTTTTAGAACATGCTGGCTTCTAAGCTTTCTTTTTAAAATTTCATAGTATTTGCTTTTTCAGTATCAGGAAGTTATCTTTGTTCGGCTGTTGTTCCAACTAGAAAAACTGGGATTATGTAGGTAATGATTAGTTCTAAGACCGTAGCATATGCAGCATATTGGGCGGTAATTGTGGAAAGTGACTGATGGATTACTGTTGCCTTTCAGATGATTGTTTTATCTTAAACCTTTTTCTGTAGCATAACCATTTATTCAGCAGATATTCATTGCACATCTGTTAGCTGCTAGGCAATATTCTAGGTGAGAGGTATATATAGGTAGGCAAAGTACACAAAAGTCCTGCCCACTGCACAAAGTTAGAAAGACATAGTTATGTGAAACAAACTTAAGTATCTCATGAGTCTGGATTCTTAACTCTTGAAGCTTTAAAATATAAGTGGAAAAATGTCTTGTTTACTGAAGTTTTAATTTAAATAATATTTAGGCCTTTATTTCACCTTATTTGAAGATAAAATTATTGTGGAAGAAGAAAGTGTGATTTAATGAATTTTATCTATTTAAAGTTTCTTACCTATTTTATCTACTTAAAAAATAAAAACTTTTTAAGTGGATTTGGGCTTCTTTTTAAAATAATTATAACATATATTTTTCAGTTTTAGCATACTTTAAAAAAAGAACTATCAATGTCAAGTTTTACTTTTGAAGTAACTTTGTGCAAAATTTAGTTTATAATGACATCCTGGGAAGAACTTTTGAAAGTTACCTTTTTAAATTCAAATAATGTTCATAAAAAGCCATAAGTTACTTTACTACTAATAAACGTATTAAAGAGAATCATAACCACCCCAAAAAAACAACCCCTAGCCTATTTAATAAGGAAGGAGACTGAGATTTGTAGTATGTAAATTAATGAGTTTAAATGAATCTTAAATGTATTAGAACAAGGTCATGTTAGTAATTTTAATGACATAGTGATAAAGTTAGGCTATATCTCGTTTGTATTTGATAGGAAAAAATCATAATAGATATTAAAAAGAGGATGATTGTTAGAGAAACCATTTAACTTCAAAGGGAATTTAGAATTATGTAACAGTGAGGTTCTGCCAATTAGTATCTAGTAAAACGTACAGGCACTATTTGATCATAGTCCAGAAGGTTTTTCACTTTTTGCTGATAAATTCTTAAATAAGTTAATGAGTATAATTTATCATACTTAAATTTCTGCACTGAAAGGGTAATCTGGGTGAGGTCAGTGCAATACTGAAATGCATTTTCTCCCACTTACGCGCATTTGGGGCACTTTCCTTTGGGGACTGTCATAGAGGCTGTGCTCACTTTCTTTGCAATGTAAACAGGGAGTAAATGAGAAGGAAACTACAGCTAGTTTAGCCCCGTTTAAGGACATAAATTTGAAGTCATGGGAGATGGAATTAGGGGGATTCCATGCAATATCTTTAAGTTTTGTTTTAATAAAGTTTGGTTGTATTGAGGTGGTTTATTTATTTCTTAATACATCACCCAGTTTTTCACAATCCCATAGGAGGTTGTGGATTATACAAAAGGACTTTACTGGAGGTATGAAAGCTGCTGACATAGAGGGAGAAATGATTCATTCATAAATGCATGCCATATACATAGATATACCAACTTAAATACTGTTGGCATCTATCCCCAAATCCCAAATTCAGTTTGTGATAGCTAAACCTAAGAGATTATTATGAAAATCTTGAGATCTAGTTTTGACCTGGCTTCATTATTCAATAGAGACATTTTATTTCACCATTTAAATTAATACCAAGAGAATAGTACGCTATTTTAAGAACCTTAAGTATAGAAGTTTTGCTTGAATTTTGCTATCTGATGATTTAATGTATTATAATCTATTCAGAAGAACTGTATATAAAAACATCTTTGAAAGGTTTCTGGGTAATCTGAGTTTTCCTTTACTGAGCAATGAAAGTACATCATATTATTGTTTCATGTTCCTTTTCACTGAAGGTAAAATAACTCCCGAAGTGAAGTAACATGGTAGGGTGTTCCCTAAGCTGTGCTGTCTTTCTGATTTGTTTCTAACTTTAATTACAGTTCATAAAACAGTTTAAGCCTTATATTATTTAAATATTAAGTATTAACTTGACATAACTGTTTGAAAAACTACAATGTTCCTTTTATAAACGTGAATAATACCAGTAGGTATTATGTTAGTCTTTTACCCTCTAAATCTCCTCTTTATTAGTAGCAACTTAAAGTATGGACTCCTGAATTATGGTGCTGGTTAATTAAGAAGTAAATTCAAGGTGCTTTAGATTTATGCTGAATATTGTATAATTTTGATTTTTTCTTCAAAGTAGTCTTAAGGAGGCATCATGGGTGTGACCTACAGCTGAAGGGGGTTGGGATTGTCAGGTGAACTTATTTTTTCCTTTGATATTTTTGATTCAGTAGACCCGAGGTTTGTTCTCTTTGAAGTGTAAATTTTATTTTTTCATTTACTTCACTTATTGGGACTTTTGAAACTAATTCAAACTGCACTGAATTTTACCATTCCTTTGCATATATATGCAGAAGACTTGGAAATATACTCATTGCACAGGAAATAAAGTAGTAAAATAAACGAACCTGAGGAATATTTATGTTTTGTTTTATTTCTTGTTTCCAAAGATGTTAATCTGATGTTGGGCATGTGTCTTGACTAGGCATTCATGTCAGTATATTTTAAAGAATTTTATAAAACTGTAGATTCATCCTTCTTGAATTAAAAAAAAAATCAGTGCACACAGTTCTGTTTTAGTTTCTAGTGAACTTCTGAGCCTTTTCCATCTGTACCTATAACAGCAGAAAAATATGTGCCACCACCATAGACTTCATTCCCTTTCAGATGGAGCTCTTGCAATGCATCTTTCTACTTCTGAGGTCGGTGGTTGTGAACCTTGATGGTGATGGACTAACAGGGGGCTTACGGTACATACTTGATTCACACCATAGTGACTTGTCATGTCCACTTTCTTTTTTAATCTTACATGACCATTTGTGTGTCTCTACTTAATACTGTTTTTCTGTATTCTTGCTTTTGTTACTTTATTAGTCATCTCTTTTTGTTCTATTTCTTAAACATCATTGTATCCTTTTGACTTTGTCTTTTAAACTTTATGTTCTTTTTACCTTAATGGGTGGTATCTCTTGATGCATATGGACCACCCTTCCTACTGATCCTGATTTCCTGAACTTTACTGGACCTATGCTATTTATTCCAGAATCATGTGCAGTAGGCTTCACTATCACAACTCTAGGAAAAGAGTGGAGTTAATCTGTCTCCTTGTGAGAAGCACTCTGGTGTTAGTGCCATTAAATTTGGGAACTACTGGCCAGAGTTTTATACCTTAGCTTGAAATAACTCCCTTAGTGGCTTGTCATTGACTGTGAGCTCCATTTGGAAGGGAAAGGAAGTATTGCAACAGTGAGTACATCTTATTTGCCTTAAAATATATATGTAGTTTATTAAGAATAAACATAAGCAGCTCCGATCATCATAAGAAATAAAAAGTCACTTTTTTTGTGTGCATACTTTTTCATGCCTGGTCTGTCTAGCTCAGGGTTTTCTAAAGTGTGTTCTGAGGATGTTAGTTCTGCTTCCTGGTTAAATAAATTTGAATTTATTTTTGATTACAGAGCTTTTTTGAGCCAGTTATCAGGTTAATATGTATTTTAAATCTCCAAGAAACAGACATATATAGTGTATATTGTTTCACAAACTTACATGCTTATGGAAGTTTTTTTTTTCCTGTATAAAACCTGTTATAGAAAGTCTACAGGAGGTACTTTGAAAAATATCATAGCTCTTTTCTTATTTTCTTTCTAGTTTTCAAATTTCCCATTTTTAAAATAGGGTGAAGATTTATCTTCAGAATACGTTATTTTGGATGTTCAACTTCTTAGCAATATAATATTGTATTTCTATGTTACAAATAGAGACTGAGGCAGTTTCTCCTTAAATATGTTCCAAGATTCTTTACCTTTCATGAAAAGAGGACAAAATATATTCCTGAAATTTTATGTCTCTTCTAAGTACTTATGCCGTTAGTAATAGTGTTTCATTAGATAGAAATAAAATTGAGGTCTTCTTTTACATGTAGTTATACACAACTCACTGGTCTTTTAATTTCATTTTAACTCTAATTCTGGAAACTTTAATTTATTGTTAACATTTGAAACTGTCATTTATGAAGACTCCCATTATAGCTTTTGTAATATTGCTGGGTTTTTTTCTGTAATTCTTGCCTAATAACCCACATGACATTCATATGTTCCAACAGTAAGTCATTTTCATCATTTGTTTGGGTATTGTATTTATTATTCTCTAATAATCTAGTATAAAGCAAAATCTGAAATCCCTTTTTTTTTAATTAAGCTGACATTGGCTACTGAATCAAAAGAAAGTGTCAAAGCAAGTTAATTCCACCAAGTATATGGGCATTCTTAAATGACTAAGAGGACTCCTGAAAGACTAAAAATTCTGTTTTGTTTCAACATTTGTATTGTTCCTTTACTAATTATTCTGAAGCCTTTCAGTAATATTGTTTGAACTATTAAAAGCTTATTAAAAGCCTTGAAGAAAACAAACTCTTAAACTTAACTGCTCTTGCTCTCTGTTCTTGTTTTCCTGGTAACAGTTACTAAGATGAGTTGATAATCTTGGATCCTACTCCAGAGCTCACTTGAGGTCTGGAGGGGAAATTTTCTTATTTTAAGAAACATGTCCTTTCCAGACACTTATAATTATAAACAAGGATAGAATGTATGGTTGGATAATAGCTAATGAAATTGCAAAAGAACTCTATACATAAGCAGTAGATATATACTGTAAGTACCATCTCTTTTAGAGCTTGAGGAGATCTGATTTTAAGTGAGCACATGAACTACCTTGGTAGCTGAAACAGTGGAAGGAGATCAGTAATTGTTTGTTGAATGATTAATGTAGTTCTGGTGGTCACCTTTATTACTGAAGAGTCCTCCAGACAAGAAGCCTGAGTGTAACAGTTTAATATGATAGTTTTTCCACAGATATTCTTTGAGTGCTTTTTGTAACAAAGCTACTTTAGAAAATAGATTGGCCTATGTACCTAAGGGATTAAAAGAATATAAGAGAAGATAAATTCCCTTCCTTCCAGAAGCCACTGAATAAATATTAATATAATCTCTATCAGACTGAGATGGTTCCCATCTGGGAACCGTCGTTGGCATGGTTCTTGATGACAATTTTATTATGCATGTTAAATGAGTGGGATAGTGTGAAGGAAATAAGTGGGGAAGGCCACAATTGACTTTTTAAAACTAGCATTAACTTTAACAACTTTTTATTGGAATTTTTATTTTACCTGAAGTGTGCTCATTTTTTTCCCCAGATCATGTGAGTGGGAAATTAGGGTCAACCCACCCGTTCATGCTTAACCAAGAGCTTATTATACAAAGTAAGATGTTAGAAGTCAGTTAAATTCTGTTTCAGTATGCTTCAAGTTTTTAAATTGATGGACTTGTTTTTAATGTTGGTAGCTATTTTGGGTACTGTTTAATGAATGATTTAGGAGAATATAATGAGCATTTCACCTTAAAAAGTCTTGAGTAAGTAAATAAGGCTTAAAATAATGTGGAGAAAAATATTCTAGTGTATTTTTTTCCTCATAAGGTGATCAGGTAATACAAATCTTATTAAGAATTTCTGAATTTGAGCATCAATACCCAAATGAATGTTATTCTTAATTAGATTTTTAAAATATGGAATTGAAATCTTAAAGCAGAGAGAAAAGGGAACCAGATCAAGAACCTGAGAGCTACTAGTACTGAAATTTTTAAATCTATTTTAGGTAATCTCTTTTTTTTTCCTCTTCTTTTTCTTGGTTCTCTTTCTCTTCCTTTCTTCTTCCTCCTATCCAAGGCTTCTCCTTCTTGTCATCTTCCTTTTTTATTTTGTTTTATGTCTTAGTGTTTGCCTTTTTGTTCATCTTACAGATTTCAAGGGGCTTTTAACTATTAGACTGGAAATGTTCCATCCCAACCAGGACTGATGCGCAGATGAAATCTGGTTAAATGGAGCATCTTTTAAAGTTCAGAAGGCCTCTGAAAGCTTGGGCACAAATAAAGATAGCCCTGCTTGATCTTTTATGTGCCCTGATTAGTGTTAATGCTTACTTAGCACCTGGCCTTACTGACAATACTTCTCATAAATGGAAAGACTGTTAGAGACTGAGATGTATTGGAGCTGATTACAAAATGATCTGGCAATGATAAAACATTGGTCACATGCCCAGTCCACTTAAATTGTACCCTTGTATCCCTACGCCATAAGCAAAGCAAAGAAAAAATTCTCATTGACTGTGTCTAAAACTTACTAGAAATGTGAATGGTCAAGAAGAGAAGTTAAAATATGTAATTCCCTAAGAAAAATTAAGGATCTATATAAGAAACTAGAGACTGGAAACTCTAAGTTTGTTAGAGAAAATTAATTATAAAAGGCTATAATAAAACCATTTTAGATATAATTTAGAAACGAATACAAGATTTATATTTCAAGAAGATGATACACACATTTTCCTGTTGATTTGTTGAAAATACTTAAAATTGGCTATGAAAAGACTGAATATTCTATTCATTCTAATGATTATAATTGCTTTAATGAAAACAGTGACTGGGGGAATATGATTAAGATAGAAAAAAAGTGGCCATAGAATAGATTAAACTTAGGTTTGATATCTTGGTTCGTAAGTATTTTTCAAAATAATTTTTATAAGGATATAATTTAAAAGGTTTGACTGAAACTACTAAACCAGAAATTTTTAAACAAACTGCTTTAAGTAATTTCAATTATAAAAACAAGTTTTGCTTTCTGAAATGAGAATCACTATGCTTGGAAATTCCAGTAAATTTCACATAATGGCAAACTGCAGCCAAAACTGTTTGTTGCCTATTGCCATTCTTGGGCCCAAGGCTGAGAAACATTTTCAGATTCTGTGTGCTTTATCCTGAAAAAATTTGGTGAAAAGGGGTCACTGAGAGAGTTAAATGTCTGCTCTGCTTGGCCTTGGAAAGAAGGGGAGAGGGCAAGGCTGGTCTTGGGCAAATTACTTCCGCCTCCCTTTTTGCCCCTGCTTCAGCTCCAGGGGAGCTGGATATGCACAGGAGGAGTCAGAAGACCTGGGTCGAGTCCTGGCTCTGCCACTTACTACCTGTGTGACTTTGGGTAAGTTATTTAATGTCTCTGGGTCTCAGTTTCAGTGCAGGGTTGTTATGAAGATTAACTAATATGATCAATAGATATGTGTTTTATAAACTCTCAAAGTCTGTAGAAACTTAAAGTTTTATTATCATAACCAGCCTTCTTCCCAGTTCTTCTGTAATCTAGTATCCTTGGCTTTGCATTTTTAAAGCAGCCCGAAGTGACAACTCGTTTTGCTTCTCCCTGTGTCCTCCCCGTGTTGGAACTCTTACTCCTGTTCTCTGCATGCTTCAGACTTAAGTATTCTAAGAATAGAAAGCCAGGCTGGTCAGATTAATTTTCTCTATGGAGTGTGGATTACTGTTGCCTTTCCCACCCTTACCTTCTACTTTAATCGTCTCAAAATTACGCACTTAGAAACATCAACGAGTCTCTAACGCGTGGCAATTTGGACAGTGTTGGCAGAGGGAAGTCCCTTAAATCCTGTTACCCAGATCGCTTCTTTATTAGTTAGTAAGGTTGGTTGGGAAAATGGGAATATGATTGTGCCTCTTGTCCTTCCTTTTTCTCTGTGGGAAAGAAGATGGAAATAGTTCAAAGTTCTTCAGAAACCTCACTGAAAATCTAGATCCTTAACTTGAGGACTAATCATAGAGAGAAGAGACAAGGAGTTTAGTGGGCATTTCTTTGGTCAGCTCTTTGAGTTATGTCTGGCGTGGCCTCATCTTTGATTCTCAGTAAAGTAAGTTCTAGCCAACCCTCATCCAAACTGAATTTATGACACCTACTATCTTTCTGGGCGCTCAGTTGATAGAGGCTGCTTGGAACCAAGGAAGAAAGAGAATTTGCCTTCTGGATCACTTCTGGTTTCAGATTGAGGGATCTTTATGAGGGCATAAGAAGAGCTTATAGCTCTGCTTGATCCAACCCTCCCCCATAATCTAAATTCGGCTGTGTGTAAATAATAGTATAATAGCCACTTACGTGAACTGCTTGCCATTAACGCCTAATTACCATGGAGCACGATAACAGTTACTCGTGTCATGATCAGATTAACTTTTTAAAAATTTTTATTTATTTTATTTTACTTTTATAGCTTTGAACCCATGACTTATGCTCAATATGGTTTCTTGCTGAAGTAGCAGTGTCATCTTTCATAACTAAAAATTAGAAATATATCACTCTGTTAGTAATCAAATGCAAACTGAAACAATTAAGTACAGTGTTAAATGTGTGAGTTAATGGGA